CCTTATCTTCCTCCGGTTCTTGAAGAACCTTCCTCTTCTTTTTCTGAGGGTGCGATTTTCCTTTTGGTGGCTTGGTTATTGAGTCCTTTCGAACCATTCTCCCTTTAAGCACTCCTATTGACAATTCACAGTTGTATAAATTCGTGTGTTACAGCTGCCGATGACGATCCTTTACCAGCCATTGAAGGCCTTCAAATTTCAGGTGATGCATTTCCTGGCCGAGAGCTCCAGGCATGTGGATACTCTACTAATGGAACAACTAGTTGTAATTTTGAGGTGTGTTTCCTGATTTTATGGTCCGTCCTTGGTTCATTTGGCATTCAGATTATTATTGACTCATGTGGATCACCTGAAAAGGGTTTCTTTCTTACCTGTTAATAATGACCTAATTGTTTGTGGTACTGGCAGTGGGTGCGCCATTTTGAAGATGGATCTGTTGATTATATTGATGGTATTCCATTTCACGATGTGTTTTAGATTTCTATTACGCATTGCATTGATTTCCCTGCGCAAGTAATTTTGGGTGCCTCATGACAGGAGCAAAACAACCAAACTATCTTGTGACTGCTGATGATGTTGATACATACCTAGCTATAGAAGTTCAGCCCCTGGATGACCGGAAGCGCAAGGTGGGATTCTGGCTTCAACATTTGGTTGTATTCGAGTATATGCGCCAGACTATCGTTTTACTCTTTTTTTTTTCTTTCATACCAAGTTAACTATCACAAATTGCATCTTCCTTATCTTAATGATGTTAGGTTTAGGATTCCGTCAGTTCTCAATGGCTAATCACGTAACACTATGCTTTAGCCACTTTTCTTTTCGCTTTTTCCAGAATCCATGAGAGAGTAGTGTGTTGCATCTTCAACTGTAGATGAATTATTAACACTGTATTTTTCCAGAACAAAAACAGGAGGGATGTTGTTTGACACTAGACACTCTCCAAGACCTCAAGATCAACCTGTTGCTTCTTGCCATTCTGAAGCTCCTTGTGGGCATTTCGTTGATTCTCAGTTTTCTTTCTTTTGTTCTAGCACTGAAAAGGGGAGCTGTATCTTACAGCCAGCATCATCTAACTCCACTTAGTTTTATGCTTCACCATTTTCTTGGTCACCTTTTCAACTATTACAAGACCACAACACCTACCTTATGGCTTCTATGTTTATTCGGAATCTCCTCCTCCAGACATTTCTATAGACCATTAGCCTTTCCTTTTCACAGTCATTCAGCAATCTCGTCTTTGATGATTGAATCCTGAATTGATTGATCTGTCTTATTTTCGGACTTACTTTTTTAACTTGCTTGTAAAATTCATTTCTTGTTCTTTCATCCTCAGGGAGAACTGGTCAGGGTCTTTGCAAATGAGAACAGAAAGATTACTTGTGGTAAGAATAATATTCTACTTGAACATTGATTCCACCTGTTTTGCTTGTTCTGTTTAGAGTTAATCAGCATTGTTTATTGACTGAATTAGTAGAAATTACACATGGAAATTTTCCAACCGCAAACCCAAAGGGTTGGCCTAGTGGTACTTGGTGATGAAAAACATAATAGGATGCCTCAAGTTCAGATCTTGGGGCGATCACCTACGGAGTGGAGCCGACAATTTTTTCTTCTTTTTGACAACAGTAATAGAAGAAATGGAAACTTTTATTCTTAGTTGGAATCTTGTTCCCTGTTATGTTATATTCTCTGGCGGCTATATATTGTATTACTAATTTTGTTGAAACTCATGTTCAGTTAAAACTACCTACCAAAAATATATCTTTTAAGTTGCGCATGACCGGTCACGTTTTCCTGAGACACCAGGGCACTAGTGTGCTTGGGATTAGTTAGAGCTTCCGTGACTTGTCTAAGCTACACATGCTCCAATTTAGTCTCTTGGTTAAGTTTATCTCTGCCAGCCACTTGTGTCAAGCTTTATTTTCCTTGCAGATGTTGAAATGCAGAACCACATAGAGAGGACTCTTTCTAATGGTCATGTTGCATACAAAGTTTCTTTGTCGGTATGTGTTCTATTAGCAGGTGCTGGAACTGTCGGAATTACCTTCCTCATACTTCTGATATTGGCATTTGTCAATGATATTTCAGACTGGGTATCTAGATATATGGGAGCCAGCCACTATAGTCATCAAGAGGGACAGTTACAGCATCAAAAGTAGTGGGCCTAATGGAGCTGTGGTCAGTGAGAAGTTTTCGTCCAAGACAAGTGTAGGAGTTCCTCACTTTCTCTGATATTCTTTCCACTCATGATTATTGCCGCTCTTTTTTTGTTATGAACTTGTTTGAGCTAGATTATGATAAGGTTGGCTTGGCTCTCAAGCACACTTTTTCTAATATAAGATGTTATCTTTCTGTTCCTGGAGGCGCGGTTAGTATGTGGATTAACTACTTTCTGCAGTAACCTGGCCTTTCAGTTCACAAATTTCTGCAGTTGGTTAGGGAATATTTCGTAGCATATTTTCATATTTGTTGAGAAAAACTGGCCATTCTGCTTTTCCTTACGGGTTGTTTGGAAGCCATGCATTTTAAGATATCAGTGTATTTTGTAGATAGAATTGGAAGAATGTGTAATGTTAGAATAAAGTGTTTGGTTCATAGGGATGGTCAGAATACTTTGTATCATGTATTTATGGAAATACATGGGGGCTTGAATAAATGGTCTTTGTACCAGATTCAAACAAGGAAAACGATGAGATACAGGATCAACAAGGAACAATCCTTGGCCACCAGATGGCCCCTTGGTGGATATTGGCTGTGTGCATTTATTTGGATCTTATGAAAAAGTAACTCATAAGTCTTTGTGCAGATTCAGAAGTAAATTGCAGCACACATTTTTGCATTCAAAATAAAGAGCCTTGAACTAGATACTTGAATGAAATGCGTGGAATGTTGGGATTCAGAAGTAATATTTTATACCCTCTCCCTTTTGCATTAGGAAGTGTAAACTGAGAAGGGCATTTGATAGACCAGATTTGAAATTATGTTCCATTGCTCCTGTACATTCTTTCCTTGACCGTATATCTACGTTGAATCTATTCATAAAAAAAAACTATGTTGAATCTGGCTGAGGATTGTTATTTTGTATTCCTTCATGCATTCTACTAAGAAAGTTGAAGAAAATCAGGCAGCTCAAAATGGTAGAGCTTGGTGCTTTGCTGTTGGGCTCCCCCTACATGTGTTTCCTTTTACATTGTTTGTTCCCTCATATTAGGAATCCCCTTGGAGTTTCTCCTAATATTTCCTCAACCTGTTTTGCCGCAGGTCACAATCCCTTATGGGAACCCCACAGAGTTCATCATAGTTTGTGCTACTGGAGGTCAGCATCTGTTACGAACCGATAATGATGCAGCGGATGTTAGCTGGTAATCTTTTGTCTCTGATTATAGCTGACGGGACATAATTTTCAGTTTCCAAGTCAAGTAGTTGATATTTCTGGGTTCCTGTTTTTGGTTTGTGCACAGTTTAAGAGATGTCATTGTGCTTACCATGAGACTGTTCATCATTAAGGTAAAAAAGGCGCCCTCTTTATATTCTCCTTTTCTTCATTTCCTATTATGTTAGATGAAATTATTAGCTTCCGAGGGCTGGGTCTTAAAAATGTATGTTGTTTGATTGAATGCTTGCAGGCTGGGGAGAAGAGGAAAGGAAAGAAGAGGGGGCTATTTTTCAACAAGTGAAAAAGTCGATAGTAATATTCTTTTTGGTTTAGCTCTATATTGAAAGCAGCAGCAGAAGCAAGTAAATCATTATTTTTATTTTTGAGGAGTGCATTCTTACATATATGATAGTATTTTTTTTTTCTACTTATTTTACCAATCATCTTCATCTATACCTTCTATAGGATTAGCAGCTTTCCCATGTAATTGAATCTTATATTGGTTAGTGAAAGTGTTTCTCCGTTGTCTGTATTCTTTTTTTTTTTTCTTTTTCTTTTTCCGACATGATTGTCTGTATGCTCTCGTTCAGTCGTTCCTCTATTCATCTCTCTATCTTGCCGTTTATTAGGGTAACTATTTATTGCATCGACTATCATCCAACAGGCGACAGTACATTGTTTGGTTTTCTAGTTATTTGAATCTTTCTGTTTCATTGAACGGTTTAGTGCTTCGTTCACTTAATCATGTTAATAATTTTCAATAGTCCAAGACAGTCGATAGGATTTTGATTGCATGGTATAGGGTGTGTATCTCCTTTGCTCAGCCAAGTTTAATGCTTCGATGTGATTTTTGAACAATCTGTCTATGACGTTACCTTAGTTGTTTGGGATGTTTCTTGCATTTGGCCACATTTTAGAAACACCCAAATAGATCTTATGATCTTTGATCCAACCAATCAAGACATTTAACCAACCTGGCTTTCCACCTATGCATCCTCGTTTTACACAGTAGAAATCAAGTGTGGTGTTGTGTAGGATCAATCTTAGGGATGATTTTTTGCAATTCATAAAACATCAAGTGGGGGGTTTGTGAACTCCCTTGAGTTTGATTTGCTACTACTCGAGCATCTCATCCCCGACGTCGAAGATCTTAATGAACGACACCTTAAGGTAATGGTAGCTCGAGGATGGTATGTCAAACTTTCCAAAGCAAGCGAGTTGAAGCCAGATTGGAGGCTCATCCATCATGTGATAACGAGAGATCCATGATTGGAAGGTGTGGAAGCAAGAGAAATCTTTAGGCCCTGTGATGCTCATCTTGGAGCATGATGGGATCACGACCTTTTCACCTTGGATTCTCGATTATCATCACTTTGACTAGGCATACAATGGATGGTAAGCTTCTGGCTTTGCATAAGGGAGTTTACATTACAAGACTCGCCAAGTGCTCATTGTCAACCTCGACATTATGGAGAGACAACTTGACACTAGGACTCACCCTGTCTCCGTCGAGCTCTCTAAGTCCTATTTGAAACATTTAAGAATAATGAGAATAGAGTATGGGCAATACCACCACTATGAAGAAGCTAGTAATCCCAATGAAGGATATCCAACCCCAATATGTAGACACCTCGCTTCATTATCTTTACAAGACCATGTATCCAGATACGAATGGTTCCTGGGGGCAATTTATTGGGAAAAAATCCAAAACTACCACCGTTTAAAAAAAAATTACAAAAATACCACCCAGACCAAATAATTTCCAAAAATACCATCATTTATATAAAACCGCTCATTTAATGAGCGGTTTTTAATGAAACCGCGTCTCCAGGCGGCGTTTATAGAGAAAAACGCGCCCCCAAGGCGCGGTTTGACCTTGCATGGTTGTCAAACCGTGTTGCCACGTGGCGGTGCATCAAACCGCCAATTGGAGGAGCGTTCTGACGGCTAAAACGCGTGCCAAGTCAGCAATCCGTGTCGCCCACAGAAACCGCTTCCCCGAGGCGCGGTTTGACCGTTGGGAAACGAAAACCGCTCTCCCGAGGCGCGGTTTGACCGTTGGGAAACGAAAACCGCTCTCCCGAGGCGCGGTTTGACCGTCGGGAAAAGCAAACCGCGTGCTGGAGGCGCGGTTTTTGGTGGCGGAAATTACTCCACCGACCCTCCCCCACGGGGTTTGAAGGCTATATAAACCCCCTCCCTCTTCTGTTTTCTGCACACCATCCACCACACTCCCCTCTCTCCCTCTAACTTCTCTCTACCCAACCCCTCCCCTCCCAACCTTAGAATTAGTTTTTTTGTTGGTTGCGGCTAAGTTCGATCTGCCTCCAAACAACTTTTTCTTTGGTAGCCTGCTTGTTGGTTGTAATCCGCCTGTTGAGCTTCTTCTTCATATGAAGGGAAGGATTGATGACTTCCTCCAGTACCATGATGATACTCCTGCCTCCAGCTCGAGTCTTGGAAATCCTGGTGGGGATGATCTTCGTATAATACACTCCCACCGTGGATACCAGATGTTTGGCCATCTCCAGAATGACCTACACTGCCTTCGACGACCTCGGTGTAAACGAACATCTCAGCTTGCTTAATTTTATTGGTGGTCAAAAATTGGACCATGGCATCAACCTCCTCCTGAGTGGTAAGGAGGAATTCCTCATTCCACAGTGACCCGTCATGTCTGTTTGGATATCGATACACCATTCGATCAACTCTTCTAGTGCCATCCATGCAGGTAATCTGAGTGCACATTTGATGGAGCTCCTCAAGCATCGGTCTCGTACGGACCTTCATTTTATAAAAATTGCCACCGACGTAACTTACACCCTTTTCGGTCTCTTCCGTGTAACCATTCCACCGCAACCCAAGCGTGAACCTTTGGAATGCCATCTGCAATGAAAAGTAATTAAGTTACTAACATAAAATCACAAATGACAATGAAAAGTAATTAAGTTACTAACATAAAATCACAAATGACAATGAAAAGTAATTAAGTTACTAACATAAAATCACAAATGACAATGGAAAGTAATTAAGTTACTAACATAAAATCACAAATGACAATGGAAAGTAATTAAGTTACTAACATAAAATCACAAAGGACAATGAAAAGTAATTACGAAACAAACTTACGAATTAACGTTAATCGCAAAAACTAAATAATTTAAAGCTGAAATTTTAAGAAGGAAGAGGAGGAGGTGTGAAGAATTGAGTTCTCTGGAACCGCCTTTTATAGGCAAATTTTGCATCAAAACCGCTGGGGGGGGGGAGCGGTTTTAGGTCTGCCATGCAGCCCTACCTCCTGCATGCTGACATGTCCGACATGTTGGCTGTCGGGTGACCAGGCACAAACTGCGCCTTGGGGCAGCGGTTTATGTCCTGAGATTGTAAACCGCCGCTTGGGGAGGCGGTTTATTTCCTGACATTGTAAACCGCCGCTTGCGGAGGCGGTTTGTAATGCCGACAGTTAAACGCTCTTATATTAAGCGTTTTGTGGTAGGGTTAGCCTATAACCGAGCCTTCCAGAAGCGTTTTGTTCTGGAAATTAAAAACGTTACCTAGAGAAGCGGTTATAATGTAAAACGCTTCCTGGAGGCGCGGTTTTATAGAAACGATGGTATTTTTGGAAATTATTTGGAATGGGTGGTATTTTTGTAAAAAAAAATTTAAACAGTGGTAGTTTTGGATTTTTTCCTATTATTGGCAATGAAAAGGGCCACTCTCCTTTATTTTCTTTTTATTTAAATACATAACTCCTAGTATGTATGTATGTGGTAGTTAGTTATATATGTTTGTATGTTCAAATAAAACCGGCACTCTCTCTTGTGAAATGTTTTGGATGGCTTTAGATTTACAAAGAAGACCTACACTTGACCCTACCAACCCTTTTGAGGTTAAAATTAGAGATTCTTATCTTGAACTTCTACACATTGAGGAATATGTGTTTCTTATGTAGGGTGGGGGGGGGGGGGGGGTTGCATGATTTCATTTTCATGAATGAGTCCATTTCGACTTGCTTCTCGTGTGATGACCAATGAATCCGTCTATGAGAATGCGATTGTCTAAAGTCTAATGTGTGAATGAATGGTGGATTAGATAAGAATGATACTAATCTTGCTTGGAACCTAAGAACAACTTCAATATTTTAAATTTTAATTTTGAAGGTTGCAAGCAAGCCCCCGATTCTTACAATATGATTTCATGCTTTGAATTGTCAAATCTAGCCTCTCTATCTCGACCTATGTTGACGAGAGCGTAGTGCATGAGGTGTCTTGAATTAAAGTGTGTTTGTTAACTTCTTGATGTATCCTGATGTAAATGTTTGAATAGTGACTGAAGAAGTAGGTTTGTTTGTGTGTGAAGTTGGATTCTCAAGTATATGTCGGCTGAATGATGCTCGGTTTGTGCTTTCCCACAACCACGTTAGCTAAGTAATGAAAAGTAGGTTGTAGCTTAAGAGGTTTACGTGTGAGGCAGGCACCAATAGAGTGATGAGGAAAGGACAATTAGTTGACCTTAAGAAGACCCTTTCCAGGTTACATAAAGGCAACTTGTATACAGTCTTTTCTGGGGAAATTGTGTAAATGATACCCTAATGAGGTTCTCCATCGGCCAAATAAGGGAAGTTCATGCATATAATTGTCTTTGATTATGATAACACATAAATTGGTATTATTTATTCCTCTTATCTCGATTCCTTTTGAGTCATTTAATGGGCATATTGATTGATACATCGTCAAATATACCCATATTTTGTTCCTCGAAGAATATATCGTTGTATTAGGGTGTATTAGATGATATGTACGAATTTGATACCAAAAGTGCACAAGTGTAGCAAGAATGAGGCAAAAGCTGAAGATCACGGTTTGGACAAGGACAATAACGATCAAGATTGGAGCACACAAAGAGAGAGCTAAGATCACGGCCTCCAACCCCAAGATCGCGACCGAGATCTTCGGAGCATTGGGCGTGAACTTGGAGGGGCAGCCAATGAGGGAGAAACAGAAGGTTTCGGTAATCGACTCACAACCACTTTCTTCCGAGCCCGCGAGATACATTGAGGTCGTAACATCAAGGATCGTGGCCGAGATGTCAGGCCGCGATCCTCCAAGTCTTCAACGTGTAAAGGTTCTGGCCTAAGATCACGGCCTCGCCTCATAAGTTCACGATTGCGAAATTCTGTCCCTTGCCTTTGAACTTCCCCGAAATCTAGAAATTCTATAAATATTGGCCTCCTCCCCTTTAATAGATGGCTTTTGGCAGATTCTTGATTCTAGAGAGAGAAGTAGAAGCTTGGAGAAGAATAGGAGGAGAAGAAGTGGAGGAGAGCTTTGGAGGAGGACTTCCATGAATTAAAGACCATTTCTTCATGATTTCTTCCCCTCTTTGTATGTATTTTCTCCCCCCCCCCCCCCCCCCCACCCCCTCTTTCATGGGGCAATCTCCCATGGTACTAGGGGCTAAAAATCCCACACGCTAGATTAGGTTAGTAATGTAGATGAATGTATTATGTTAGGGTTTATGAATGGATGTGTTTGTTCTAGTGATTATATGCTTCATTTATGCTTAAGTATGCTTGGGTTAGTCGTCCTACTCTTCTCTACTAGCATATGATGAGCCAATGTTGGGTAGGACTTTTAGAGTTAGACCGGGTAGCGCTAACTGGCAAATTATGGGTAGATGAATAATCTTGGGTCTTGTAGTGGACGAGGCGATCGTACCCCTGCTACAAGAATGCCTTCCTAGAAGATGCTTTAGAGGAACCCAAGTGTGTATTGATCCATCTCTTTAGTTTGCACGATAGGTAAAACCTATTGAAATTAGCTAAATTCATAATGCCCCCAGATACGTGAGCCTTGACTGAGGTGACAATGGGTCTTGGGGGGACATACTCGGAAGACTGGGATGACGACAAAGGCCCACAAGATTAGGGAGATCACACATCATATCCGATAAACCCAACATAGTTAGTCATTTGCATGTTAGACATAAACTAGGGCGAGAGAGTTACCTCACGTACCTCTTCTTATCTATCAATCTTTAGTTTAGGAATCGCCAACTGCCCACCTGCTAAGTAATTGGCTGACTAGACAATGACCGAGCCTAAGTAGCCTAGGATACCATTACATTTGGAATACAACCAAGCCACTTTACTACATCCCTAGCTTGGTTATACTTGGCCTACTTAGTAGTGACTAGTGAGTGTGCATCAACTTATATATTTAAAGCTCGATCACAACGCGACTGATGGGCAGCGCATCAACACTTAATGGATAAGCTATGGTAATGGGTATCTGTATAAGATAAGATTCGATGGAGTTCAATAGGTGCCAAGTAGATGCATAAAGAGGTGTATTGGGATCTTGGGGGAGATGAATAAAAATGATCAGATTGTGTGCCTTGTTTGACATTGATGTGCCTGGGATTCCGTTCAGAGTCGGCTAGAAGCCTTTCAAAGGTTGGGTATCCTAATTGTCCCTCCACATGGACCAATGTACAATATTAATGTTAAAACCACCATGAGGATATGCGGTCATTGTGAAAGGGTGGTATGGATGGATTTTTTTTTTGGAAGTGTGGTATTTTTAGAATTATTTAGTTTTTGGGTGGTATATTGGGAAATAATCCTTCAATCGAAGGGGAAAGGATGAGGGGAGAGAATGAGAAGAAGAAGGAACAAAAAGTTTTATTACGGGATAATTCATGGTTTTTCTATCGATCTATAATGTGTCTCTGCATAATGAAGAAGGAATTGTGTGTTCTTTCCCTTTTTTTTTGTTTCATTTTGTTTCCCTTTTTCCCCCCTTAATATTCTACTTATTCTGACTGGCGATTGTTTTAGGTAGCTAGAATTTGAGAACTACGATTGGGCCTTGAATGGGCCTAAGAGACTAGCCCATTAACAAAAGTGGTATAAAATTCTTTTTTTATTGGCAAACTTTTAAATGTTTAATATCAGTTAAACGAATAAAATGGAAACCGCTTACTATACTGGTCCATAATTTGGTTTGGTTATAACAACATTGGGTAGAAGGAAAGAAAGCCAAATGCATATGACCCCTACTTGCCCGTCAGAAACATCAATTTTTTTAAGTTTCTCCAACCCAAAACAATACAAAAAATCAATTAAGATTGTTGGAAAAGTGACTAAAAGAACCGTAAAGAGTGATTGTACCTCCTACCTATATTGAGAACCTAAGTTCTTGCCTTGCTTTTATCTCCCCTCACATAAGAATATTTCATTTTGGATTTGATGAGTGAGTTAAGCATGGTCATGAAGAGTTGGGACATCTCTAGTCACCTGTGATCTGCCTCCGAAGATTCACAACGAGTGGAGAGGTATAGGATTTTTGAGTTGCACGTTTTAATCACATGTTTGCTTAGAGACAAGCAAACACATAAATGTGAGAGGAGTTGATAACACCAAAAATAGGTCATAAGATGAAGAAAAGGAGTTCATAGGTACATGAAGAGATCACGACCGTGATTTCCAACTTGTGATATTCGAGTTCACAGTTGAGATCTTTATGCCCAAGTCGTGAACCCTAACAACAAGAAGAGTTGCAGGAACAAAAGGTCTCACAGCCGGACTTGCATTCGCTCGAAAGAGACTGCGACCTAGGAGTTCACAACTCAAGAAAATATCACGGCAATAACCTATATGTCATGATCTCCAAAGACTCAGGGCATAATGGCGTCACTCTAAGATAACATGACCTGTATCAAGTTCACGACTGTGAACTTTAGCGAATCTCGGCTATAAATCCAGTGAATCTTAGGCTCAACTATGAACTTGTATGGATTCCATTACCTAAAATTAGAGGTCGAACCCAAGGGAAAATAGAGCAAATTTTGAAACACAAAGCATATAGAAAGAGAAAAGAGTTGATAGTTGTCTTTGAAGAGCATCTAGGAGCAATTGACTTCAAGTTGATGATTACTTCTCTATTTTTCTGTGTATCCCCCTAACATTGGGATAACATCTTAGGCATTTAGGGTGAGAACCCCTAACCTAGATTAGGATTCTTATTAATGGAATGATTTAGTTATAATTATATAATGATTTCTTGCCTATATGATGTGCTTCATTCTTGATCCATATGTTGTTTGCATGTGGGTAATGACCTAGAGGTTTGACCAAATGTAGGTGGCCATCCACTTAGGTCAAGTAGGGGATACTATAAAATATTGCAATTTAGGTGATTACATGACCACTAGGTTACCTAATTGTATGCTTATGGATTCATTTCCACTAAAGAGGATTTGACATATTCATAGCTATGGTGATAAAGTTCATAACCATTGAATTGATAACCATAGCTAGGAGGCCAATTGAGTGCATATCCATTCAATGAATTGCCTCATTAGCTATCCTCGCATCTTGAAATGCTATAATTGAACAATTACATGTCCATCGCGATGCAAATTCCATCAAGTTAGGTGGGGGGCCAAATCACTAAATGCTCTCTCTCTCTTAAGCTAGTTAAATTAATTTGTAGTTGGTGACTTAAACTCAAAATCTTAACTTTCCAATGTATAACGATTTTAATCGTTTGAGTAGTAGTAGAAATTTTTGACCCTGAGGATACAACCATAGTAACCACTATACTACGTCAACTAGTTGGGTTATACATTGCTTGACTAGGTGTAATAGAATAGTAGAATATCAAGTCTTTAAGGCTTGGTGCAAGTCAGCTAGTCAGCATGGGAGAAGCTGAGCGCTAAGGTGGCTACATTTTGGATATCTTGAAGAAAAAAGAAATGGACGGATGTGGCTATTTCGATTGAAGGAGAAGATATGGATGGATGGGCGACTAGATCTTTGGAGATCGAAGAAGAAAAAATAGAGGCAGGGAGAGGCATTCTAATTCGGAGAAGGAAGAAGAAATTAGATGATGGGAAGCTACATTTCTAGAGCTTGAAGAAAAAATTGGAGAGCTTGGGTTCAACTACACGATTTGAAAGAGGAAAGAAAAGGGGGTCAGCTACGCTAGGGTTTCATGGTGTCAAATGGGATCCAAAATAATGAAGTAAAAATTATGCTAGGGCAAGGATCCATACTAGGGTGACCGTTTTGAAGAACATGAGCCACCAATCGCTAGGAAACCTACATAAGAAATGTCTATGGAACACCCGTGAAGCCACTTGTTACTATTTCTTTGAATTTGGCTTTGTTGCTACATCCCATTTCCACAACAAGACAATACTAACTGTTTACGGTGAAAAATGGGTGGATGGGTTGCATCTGACTTCTATGAAGGTGACGATTGTTACTACAGTCCACACCTCTTCAAACACTATTCGAATGAGGGTATTTGGTGTGAGGGAAATCTACATTACCTTACACTACTCCTATATGATTCCTGGAGAGCTCCACGACTACAACTAAGACTACTGCTACGGAGGATCCTTCATGGAGGATAGCTCCGCAAACTATAGATAAAAAGGAAAAAGGGACATTTGAGACAAGTTGTCTTTGAGTTGGATTGTGATTGTCTGCCTCTCTCCAGAAGGTTGCTTCAAATTTTGTTGCCCAGACTCGTCCAAATTCTCTCTCTCTCCTCCTCCCAAAAGGTAGCTCCTCTTAGCCTCTACGCAAGTCAGTTGTTGTTTTAGAAAGTATCTAGACACTTCACCATGTCATCCTGTTTCAACATGGATGGAACCATCCAACTAGTATGGTATTCATGACATATGATGGTACCATCCAATTAGTACTTTGGATGTTGTTCATGATATGGGATGATACCATCCACCGTAGGATTGGATGTTGTCCACTAATATGGGATGGTACCATCCACTGAGAGGTTGGATGGTATCCATAATGTGGGATGCTACCATCCACCAAGAGGTTGGATGGTTATCCTGGGACTGCATACATGGTGAGTTGGTGACTAAGTACTGGATGGTCACCCAAATAGTATTTCAACGGAAAAATATTTTGGTGTAAACAATTGCCCCCTCCCCCCTACACAACTTTGTTCATAAGAAATTATGAACTAAGTTGTTGACACTAATTGTATTAGGTCTCAAACCACATGAATCGAACAATGTTTGCATAACACCCAATTACATAAGGAGTTCCCTTTCTTCATGGCCAAGTCACCCATGACAGTAAATTTATCTCACTTTCAATTATCAATCGGGTAAAAATACTATTTTTTATTTAGGCTTATAAGAAGCCAAGCAAATTAATTAATCACTAAATAGCCAAGTCACAAAAAATGTGGCTTTAATAATAATTTTTCTTTTTTATAAGGAATATAAATTCGTTTTCATGTAGGACACATCCTTTTAATACTTATCCTACTAGTAAAAGAAGACGAACGTCTGTAAGGACACACCAAATTTCTCCTCCATGTTTTGAAGTTACCACCAGTCATAATCCATCAATTGGGATGGTGTCATTTTAATTGTGTCACACCACCCAAAAGCCAACTTGGATGCTTACTCACTAATTGTTTATTTTATTTTATTCTATATTTTTGTGGCAATAGTTGAGGAGCATCACCACTTGCCATAGCCCTTAGCAGTAACTAAGGATTCATAGGTACACACCTATTGCCAACTCCATTTGTAAAACCACACAAGTCATCCATACATCACGTGGCTTCCTCCTTTTAAAGGAGATATACACAGTGGAGTAGGAGTGGCTATACGGTCTGGTACGGTTAAACTGGCCCAAATTGACCTGGTCCCATTCCGATATTTTTGGAAATATGGAGACCAAAGGCAGGATTGGGTACAATCCATTTTTGACCCGTTCCGGTCTTATCATGTTCCGGTCCCAACCCGATTTTGACCCGGACTAACACTGCCAACATTGTTGCCATAAACAAAATCAATTGTTTGGAACCAAGCAATTGATTTTTTTTTGTAATACCAGTATGGTTGATGGGCCTTCCATTGGGCCACGTCGTTCCGCTAGAGTACCTCAGCCCAACCCGCGTTACATGGACAAGTGAGAATTGCAGATCTGTTTTGCAATAGCTTGCCAAAATTAGATTATTAGTTTCTAGTTGTTTGAATGAGTCTTTCAGATGGTTAGTTGTTATGAGTAGTGGAATAAATCCCTCCACCTTAAGTGGGGCGAATGGTTAGGATCAGTAGCCGTTGTGAACAATGTTGTCTTTCATTTTTGCCTAGAAAGGCTTTTGACAGTAATGGAATAAAGGAAGCAATTTTCAAAGTAGAAACCCTGTGGTATTTCTCGCCAAGAAAGGAGAACCTGGCTCAATCCCGCCAAGAAAAGGGATCCATCCACTTATACAATTTCAATCCGTATCATCTGGTATAAGAGCCCGGCATGGGCACCCACGCGCAACGCATTGAAGTGTTGGAAACTGCAACCCAAGAGAATCAAACCGGCATCAAGGCAATCATAGATCAATTGGAAGCCGTTCAGCTCGCCGTTAACCAGATCGCCCAAGCTCAAGCCACCAAGACTAACGATCGACGTATCGAAGATGGGGACAGATCCGTCAATGAATTCGTCAATGGGAGGGCGCGCCGTCCGCGGGCCGATAAGGAGGAGGATCCAGACCGCCAACCCTTCTTTGGGGCTAAGTTGGCTCGCCTGGAATTCCCAACCTTCGCTGGCGACGATCCTACCGTATGGTTCTCGAGAGTTGAGCAATTCTTTGAGTTCCAAGCCATCTCGAAAGATCAGAAGGTGGACCTCGCTTCGTACCATCTCGAGGGTGACGCCAATCAATGGTGGCAGTGGCTCCAGCAAACCTATCGTACTGAGGGCCTCCGCATCACATGGGATACGTTCTCCTCCGAGCTCTGGGCTCGTTTTGGAAAGACGGCTGGAACAGGCTTTGATGAGGCTCTCTCCCGCATTCGCCAGACGAGTGATTTGAAGGATTACCTTACGGAGTTCGAGCGTCTAGGCAATCGTGTACACAGATGGACACAACAAGCCCTTGTGGGCACTTTCCTGGGAGGTCTCAAACCCTCCATTGCTGATGGCATCCGAATTTTTAATCCCACAACCCTTAAAGATGCTGTCAATCTCGCTAGAGCACGAGAAGAGCAACTGAACCGCCGAAGCAGCCCTCTGCGACCACCTTCCCGATCGGCAATGGATTATACAACCCTACCTCGGCCAATGCCACGGGCCACTTTCGACGCCACTTTCCCAGCACGGAATCGGCCACTTGTGGGGAGCGACGGAGAGTCCCGACCGGCCCTCCTGTCGCGGGAACCGGCAATCTCCGCCCTCGTCCACCGGGTTCGAAACGCCTGAGCTATGAAGAGATGCATCGTCACCGCCAGATGGGTCTATGTTTTAACTGCGACGCGCCATACTCCGCTACGCACCGCTGTTCAAGGGGAAAGATATGGATGATGTGGGACGACGAGGACGACGACTTCCAAAGATGCCGAAGTCTCATTTCACGCCATCACGGGTTAGGCCAGCGGGCGCACACTTCGTGTTTGGGCTGACGTCACTGGGATCTGACTCATGGTGCTCATCGATAGTGGGTCAACCCACAACTTCATCAGCACCCGCGCCACTGAACGGCTTCATCACCCCATCACGTCAAACCCCCCGCTCCAAGTCAAAATTGCCTACGGCAGTCCACCGACGAGTCAAGGCCGACTTGACTTTTTCCCTCTTCATATCCAAGGATCAACGTACCCGGTTCACCTCCACGCAATTCCCTTATCCGGATTCGATGTCGTCCTCGACGTCCAGTGGCTCGCGACGTTAGGTACAGTCCAGAGTAATTGGAATACGTTGGAGATGGAGTTCTTTTTGGATGGCCAGCTCCAACGCATTCATGGCATCAAGCGCACTCTTCCGGAACCGGCTAGTCTCGAGTGCATTCTCAAAGAAGACGCAAGTCTCATGGCCCTTTGCATTTCCCCACCAACTGAACCCGATCCGCTTCGCAGTATCCCTCCGGAATTACACGCACTCATCCGTGAGTTTGGAGATTTATTTGAAGAGCCCAACCATCTGCCTCCCCCACGTGCAATTGAGCACACCATTCCCCTCAAGGTCGACGCTGACATCGTCAACGTTCATCCTTACCGGTACGCTCATTTTCAAAAAAATGAGATTGAATCCCAGGTTAATCAAATGTTGTCTGCTGGCCTTATTCAGCTAAGTACTAGTCCATTTTCATCTCCAATACTTCTCGTCAATAAGAAAGATGGTTTATGGCGTTTTATTACCGACTATCGCGCG